TTTTTTTTCAAGCCTCAGTCTTCTGTTTTTCTAACTCAACTTTTACTATTTCATAAATACCACCATTTATATTATCACTTCTAGAAAAATCTAAAAAGTGTTTTTCTATTTCTCTGATTAACTCCCTTACTGTTTCTGGTGCGGCAGTTGCTTCCTCAACCTTTTCTTTAAATACGCGAATCCTGTCTCTGGCTTTCATAAATTTTTCCGTTCCTCTTCCTCTACTACTAAAAAAGGCCATTATTGCTCGCTTAACAAACTCACCAACTTTTTTTATTTTTCCTGGGTCATCCGTTTCTTCTAGAATTATCTTGTCCCAATTATCACCTGCCAAAAATTCATTTTTACCACTAGCTTTGTCCTCGTATGAAACACTAGTCCGGAAAAAATATTCTTCATTACCAGTATTTATCTCATTATACCACTCCACAATAAAATGCATAAGTTTTTCTAGGTTGACCTCAGCAGAAAGCGGGTTGCTAAGTGCAAACTGGCCATTCAAAGTTGATAATATACCCGTCAACTGCTTTTGTTTTTCTGCAGAATAAGGCTTTATTCAGTCCATTCTATTAAGGTCAAACGGGTTTGATGGCATTATACTTACAATTTTATTACTTCCACCTTTCCTAAAAATTAGAAATACTATAATAATACTAAATAATATCAAAATAAGTAGAATTACAAAAATTCCCCTATGAACGAAATCAACCATAATTATCATGCAACAACCCCCAATGGAGGGAGAGATAAGCCAAAAAGTAATGCTCTTTTCAAATTATACTGGTATTATTTTCGCCAAACCTTAAAATCCTGAGGCTTTTGAATCCTCGTGGTTTTATCTTGGCTCTGATGAGGTGGTTCTTCTTACTTTTTTTATCATTTTCAACGGCGAATGGCTCTTGGACTTAGTCCGGTCTCATTAGTGGTCACGGAACTTAGTTCAGCCCAACTCACGGAAGTACAAGAAGGAAACACAAATTTTGCAGAACTCGCTGCGATCCATAATTTTGGACGAAATCGAGATATTGCTGACAAAATTGGGAAACAAATGGACCAGTATTCAGGCTCGTCGAAACCCATTAAACGCATTAGTTACCGGGAATTTATTTCTTTCTGGTATAACAGCGAATTTACTCGTGACTATTTAGCCAAGGCCCAAAAAACCCAAGAAAAATTGGCCCAGGGCATTAAGGGTTTGTCTCGCTCTGCGGCCCAAGAAGAAAAAGAAATTTCTTCATTGTGAGCCAGAAGATGACTTTTTGCTGCTGGTTATCAAAGTCGTCTTTTCCTCTTTTTCCCTTCCCCTT